GCTGTGGAAGGGATGAAAACCATGTGATGTTTTTCCTCTTTCTGCTGAAGAGGACCTCCAGCCATCGGGGTTCAAGCCAGTAGCTGTTGTGCTGGTGGGCACCTCAGAACATTGCTGAGTCAGGCCTGGGACATCAGTAAAGTAAGAATTGTTTTAGCTGCACAAAGACTTCTGCCTGCAGAGATGTAGTAGATGGAGATATTTCTCTGCTCTTGTGTAGTAGATCTCTGGTGTCTGTGTGGAGCCAGGTATGTGAGTTTATTGGTGTATATATAATATGTAGATTATTTTGGGTAGTGATGGATCACAATTTATTTCAGTGGCAAGGAAATGATCCATAGCTCAGTTATGAAGGTAATTCCCTCTTGTGTGGAAATGAATTTCATTATACCACAGTTTACTGATATGTATTGATATCAAATGTTTTAATTTCATTATGACCTAGCACTTCAGTTAATAATTACAACAAACATTAATGAGGGAAATACTTGTTCTCAACCTTATTGTGGCTGCACCTGTGATAGGTTTCAGAACCCCTTTGATATCCTCACCTTCTGTATAAACTGGGGAGTGTACTAGGGACCTGCTTTCCATTTTGGTCAAATATGTCATAGTGACATCACTGTTCAACTCACAGGCAATTTTCTGTGGCTTATGTTGCCCCATGAGGTGTAAAATGAGAACTTTTTCAAGAACTGTAATTTTTTTTTTTCTTCCTTTGCTTGGGAAAAACAAAATCCAGAACTACCTAATTTCTTTCACTTCCATTCTTATTAACTTCTTCTGCTATTAGAGCTGCCTTTAAAGGTGGGTTTGGTTTTTTTTTCTGTCTGACTTTTCTGTCAAGGCATTGAAGAAGAATTCAACAGGCACCCCACTGTTTCAAACATTCACTCTACATTTGAAAAATATCAAAGACAAGCCTTATTTATTTATTTATTTTTATAAGAAGGAAACAGCTGAGTAACAATGGGCTGGAGACAGTGCTTCTTAAAGACACTTTCTCCACCAGGCAGTGAATCTCACAGAAAAAAATTATTTAGCATCACCTCCTGATTTTGTTTTCTGTTTTTATATTCTCTTTGCTCTTCTTGTATGTACTTAGCCAAACAAGAAATTTCTCTGCTTTGGGCCTCTTTGTCCTTCTTTCTGTTGCAGTGATGCTGTTACCTTCATCTGTGCTCAAACCCAATATATATCATCTCTCTCCCCTGAGCAAATCTGGTAGGGCATGGAGGGATCAGAGATTCCCTCAGCTGCAGATGGGCTCCTTTACATGAGTACCTGTACTGAATCCCATGCTCTCTGCTTCAGAGCAGTAAGGACTGAAGTTTGTCCTTAACCCACTCTCTTCTTCTGTCCCACATGCTGGTAACAATTTAATTAGGTTTTCTGAGGAAAAGCCTCCATATGTCAGCCTGTAGTGGTACTGCAGGACCTTTGAGTATGCCCCAAGTCTGCCATTGCAAGTTGGTCTGGGACTTGCTGGGTTGCCTTGTATTTCCCTTAAGGCCCTTGGAATAAGGAATCGGAAGCTAGTAGTGTAAATTCCAGTTTAGGATGGTGTTTTACATCTTAGGCTAAGATATTTCCTTGAGCAGCCTCATCTCTTGCATAAATCTTTGGTTGACAAAGTTGAGGGTAATGAAACAAGTTGGGAGTAATGTTGTGTTTCATCCCTTCTCTCCTTTGTATAGGGGAAAGAGCAGAAGGAGTTGTTCAGCCTGTAGTTTATCTGAGTTGCAGATTCTGGGTTCCATTCTATGCTGTCATTTGTGCCTCATTTCCTGCATTTCTGGATCAAAGACTGATGTCACAAGTTGGCTTCACAGCTTGAGGTTAGGAAGGAGAACAGCTATAAAGGAGGCAGCTCCTGGTTAACACGCAAATGTGCGTGATAGTTGGTGAAAAGGGCAAAGAAAGCATGAAAGGTAAATAGATTTACATTTAAATGAGCTGCGTGCTGGAGGCTTTCCCTAATGTAAAAGTCACTCTCTAAAAATACTGTGAATGTGACAATACAACTGTTTCAGTCCAAACAAAATCTGTAAGATTTCATTAATAAGAGAAATAAAAATATAAGGAAACACAGACTAATTCTGTGCTTGTTTTTGTGACCCTTGTATGTGTTGATGGGGACTTTCCATCGTGTGCAGGGACAGATCCCAGGGCTTTGGTGTGGGATGTGAGGTAGGAATGGGTGGCACATGCTCACACTAGCACTCAGTGGAGAAAAAGAGCAAATGACAGGTATACCTTCAGAGTACTTTGGTGTGCCATCTTGGCCTGCAGGTGGGAGTGAGATCATTATAATGCAGGCAGTGTGGCAATAACCTTGGATTTTCTTTACCTCATAAAAAGGGAATTATTCTTCAGCTTCACGGCAGAAGCAAAGGAACAGGAGTTGTAAAAGAAAAACTGTTTCCACAAGGTGGAAAAGGGTATGTTTGCTGTTGGAGCATAGATTTCATACTGTTGTTTCTTCTTTCCATCCATCCTTATTTACATCACTGGGATATGCCAGCATGGTTGGCAGGTAGTTGTTAGACAGTTGTTTACACATTATCAGTAGTTATTCAGAATTTTTCAGCTTTAGAGAGTAATTTGAACTGCTTTGGTCTCCTTTGCCTAAATTGTTGGTAGAGTTCAGATACATGGTAGAACAAATAGTTAAGGTGAAAAGCAATTTGTACCATCCATAGGGAGTGAAAGTATTGAATGAAATTCACCTAATAGGATTCTTTGTACTGGTTTCCTTGCAAATATTTGCATGATAGGTGCTGATCCTGGGGATGAATTGCCAGCATGACTGTAATATATATAAATCAATAATATTTTTTCAAAATATTTCGAAAAATCATAAACTTGTTGTCGAAGTCTGGCCTTTGTATCAGCATCTTTGAGGGATCTTAGAATAAAGTTTCAAATTTTTTCAAACTGTGATCTCCCAGATGTTAAAAATAGGACCCTTGCTGCATGACTTTTCTGCACTGAAATTACCTGAACTGAAATAATCTAATCCCTGTTTTGTGTTACTCTTCATTAGAGACTGTAGTGACAGGACAAGGGGTAATGGGTTAAAACTTAAACAGGGGAAGTTTAGGTTGGATATAAGGAGGAAATTCTTTCCTGTTAGGGTGGTGAGGCACTGGAATAGGTTGCCCAGGGAGGTTGTGAATCCTCCATCCCTGGCAGTGTTCAAGACCAGGTTGGACGAGGCCTTGGGTGATATGGTTTAGCGTAAGGTGTCCCTGCCCACGGCAGGGGGGCTGGAACTAGATGATCTTAAGGTCCTTTCCAACCCTAACGATTCTATGATTCTATGATTCTATGATATGTTTGTGCTTTCTTAGATTTAACTTCTGTTCTGAAGATCAGATTATGACTTTACATGCTTGGAGGAAGGCTTGCTACCCTTTATGCATGTTAAAGAACAGTAGCGAATATTTTGTATTACCTAACTGAATGAAGAAATACTCCATGTGAAACTAAAAGCCTGATTTCATTGTTCCTGTTAACAGTTGTTTTCTCTCTTGTGATTTTCTGATAACATTTAAACATATTTTCCCTGAAAGAAGTTTGCAGGGTTCAATACTGTATATGTGATATCTACTATACTGTTCTACATTTTTTACTCTGTTGGTTAAATTAGGGTCTTTTTGGGGTGTAAACTTATATCTTCTCTGCCTGAATAAACAAGCTATAGATTATTTGATGTGTTTAAGATACAGATATCCGCACATTCCACATGTGCTGAAGAGAAGGTCAAAAGTTAAGTGTCTTCAACCATAGGGTCTACTGGTAATGTGGTTTGGGTTGGTTTGTTTGTTTGTTTTTTTCAAAGTTTATAAATTTATTTGTGAGAGATTGTAAGTAAATTTTAAACTTCACTTAATACAGAATAGTCATGCTGTATTTTTGCTTTCTTGCTTAGCTGTAAATTAATGCATTATATAGAAATAGGTAATTTTGATCAGTTAATGATCCTTCTCTTGATGTTTCCATAGTTTTTCTGCAAAAAGGAAAAACTTGGTACACTTAGAATGTGTAGAATATGTGCCCAGAAACACCATGAGAAAAAAAAGATTTGTTTACTGTGAGTTCCCAGCTATTCTATTCAGGAATAGTATCTTAGATTTACATCACCAGTTGCATGACTTGAGGGGGGAAAGAAGACAGGATCCCTGTTGGGTGTCCATGTAGCTTATGCTGAGTAAATATTGACAAAGTAGTCTAAAGAGCAAACACTTTGACATTTGTAAGGTCCACTGGAAGGTCTTGTATATATTTATACAGCAAGAATGAATGCAGCATACCAATTTCCTTGAAGTAGCTCCTGACATAATTCTGCATGGGCTTTCACATTGAGAAAGGTAGGTTTAAATGTGAATAGGTCATTTGTTACTCCCATAATGAATATCCTCAAATTGCTCGTAGTTAGTTGTTTCCAAAGGTTGCGTCACCTGCTTTTACCATTTCCTACTCTAAAAAAGAATACTACTAATAATGATAACTTTAAAAAACTCAGTTTTCTATTATTGCAGCTGAGGATTTTTTTACTTTCTAGAAATTTTTGGTGTTTGTTGTACTCTATTAAAGATTGAATCTCAAATCTGTAATGAGCAAAAAATGCTTGCTTAATTTAAATTGTGAATCTGTCTGTTAAGAAATGCATTAGGGGTAGGAGAAGCATAAGACATATTAATTGACAGACAGGAACTGCTGTCTCTGAGGTTGATACAAGTAATTTATTACTTTAGAAATGAATGCCACCTCCAGAATGTGCTTCATTAATTTCAAATTTAGTTTTAATTTCAAGCTGTTGCCCCTTGAGAAGAATAAGGTGGCAAATTATGTTTGAAGAGCAGATTTTTTTCTTGCTCTGAAGAAACACTAGATTTTAACTGTTTAATTTTACAAATAAGTATACTTTGGCTAAAATATGTAAGCAAAAGTATGATCAGCAGAAACTAACTTGTATTTTGTTCTCTTCATCATAGCCTATGTTTCAGATGAACTAAAAGCAGCAGCATTGGTGGAAGAAGATGTGGAACCTGATGAAAATGCAGTTGATGGGGAGCCTTCAGCAAAATATGCATGTCCAGGAAAAGACTTCAGTAAGAACTGCCAAAGCTACCAAAACTCTCCAGCAGCTGAATTTTCTAGCCATGAAATGGATAGTGAGTCACATATCAGTGAGACAAGTGACCGCATGGCAGACTTCGAGAGCAGCTCCGTCAAAAATGAGGAAGAGAGCAAGGAGGTCTCAATACCACTGGAAGATTCTACTGTATCTGATAGTTTAGAACAAATGAAAGCTGTCTATAATAACTTCCTTTCCAATTCCTACTGGTCCAATCTCAATTTGAACCTTCACCAGCCGATTTCGGAAAAGAACAATGGTAGCAGCAGCAGTAGCAGCAGCAGCAGTAGCAGTTGTGGAAGTGGCAGCTTTGACTGGCACCAGACTGCTATGGCTAAAACACTGCAGCAAGTTTCTCAGAGCAGAATTCTTCCTGAACCAAGTCTTTTTAGCACAGTTCAATTGTACAGACAAAGCAGTAAGCTTTATGGCTCTATATTTACCGGAGCCAGTAAATTCCGATGTAAAGACTGCAGTGCTGCCTATGATACTTTAGTAGAATTAACAGTGCACATGAATGAAACAGGACATTATCGAGATGACAACCATGAAACTGATAACAATAATCCCAAAAGATGGTCCAAACCTCGTAAACGTTCTTTGCTTGAAATGGAAGGGAAAGAAGATGCCCAGAAAGTTTTAAAGTGTATGTACTGTGGTCATTCATTTGAATCTCTTCAGGATTTGAGTGTTCATATGATCAAAACAAAACACTACCAAAAAGTGCCTCTGAAGGAACCTGTTACACCTGTAGCAGCAAAAATTATCCCAGCTACTAGAAAGAAAGCATCACTGGAGCTTGAACTTCCAAGTTCTCCAGATTCCACAGGTGGGACACCAAAAGCAACAATCTCGGATACCAGTGATGCACTTCAAAAGAATTCTAATCCTTACATTACGCCAAATAATCGCTATGGTCACCAGAACGGTGCCAGCTATGCTTGGCACTTTGAGGCGAGAAAATCTCAAATCCTGAAGTGCATGGAGTGCGGAAGCTCGCATGACACTCTGCAGGAACTCACGGCTCACATGATGGTGACGGGACATTTTATTAAAGTCACTAACTCTGCCATGAAAAAAGGGAAGCCAATTATAGAAGCCCCAGCAACTCCAACAATAACATCTTTAGTAGATGAGAAAGTCCAGTCTGTGCCCCTTGCTGCCACCACTTTTACATCTCCATCCAATACACCTTCTAGTGTTTCCCCTAAATTAAATGTTGAAATAAAAAAAGAAGTAGATAAAGAAAGAAGCATTGCTGATGACAAAATGAAAGACAAAGAAAAGTCAAGTGAAGATGAGGAGAAGTATGATATCTCCTCAAAATACCATTACTTGACTGAAAATGACCTGGAAGAAAGCCCTAAAGGGGGATTAGATATATTGAAGTCTTTAGAAAACACAGTTACATCAGCTATAAACAAAGCCCAGAATGGCACACCAAGCTGGGGTGGCTATCCCAGCATTCATGCTGCCTATCAGCTGCCCAATATGATGAAGCTGTCATTGGGCTCATCTGGGAAGAGCACACCTTTAAAACCTATGTTTGGAAACAATGAACTAGTATCGCCAACTAAAAACCAGCCCTTGGTGTCTCCTCCAAGTAGCCAGACCTCACCTGTGCCAAAAACAAACTTTCACGCCATGGAAGAATTGGTAAAGAAAGTCACTGAGAAGGTGGCTAAAGTGGAGGAAAAAATGAAAGAACCTGAAGGGAAGTTTTCTCCAATGAAGCGTGCGACGCCTTCGCCATGCAGTAGTGAAGTCAGTGAACCCCTTAAGATGGAGTCCTCCAATGATGGTGGCTTTAAAAGCCAGCAGAACAGCCCAGTCCCTCAGAGAGATGGTTGCAAGGATAGTCCAACTGTAGAACCTGTGGAAAATGGGAAGGAGCCTGTTAAGTCCATTGTAAGTTCTTTAAGTAGCAGCACAGCTATCATTACTGACCACCCTCCTGAACAGCCATTTGTAAATCCATTAAGTGCACTGCAGTCTGTCATGAATATTCACCTTGGGAAGGCAGCAAAGCCATCTTTGCCTGCTTTGGATCCAATGAGCATGCTGTTTAAAATGAGCAACAGTTTGGCAGAAAAGGCTGCAGTGGCCACCCCACCTCTACAATCCAAAAAACCAGACCACTTAGACCGTTATTTTTATCATGTCAACAATGACCAACCTATAGATTTGACGAAAGGCAAGAGTGACAAAAGCTGCTCTTTGGGTTCAGCGCTTTTGTCATCTACATCGACATCTTCTGCATCTTCTTCATCTACAGTGACAACAGCAAAGACATCTGCAGTCGTGTCATTCATGTCAAACTCGCCGCTACGCGAGAATGCCTTGTCAGATATATCTGATATGCTGAAGAACCTGACAGAAAGTCACACATCAAAATCTTCCACACCTTCCAGCATATCTGAGAAATCTGACATTGATGGTACCACAATAGAGGAACCAGAAGAGAGTACACCAGCTCAAAAAAGGAAGGGACGTCAGTCTAACTGGAACCCTCAGCACTTGCTCATATTGCAGGCCCAGTTTGCAGCTAGTTTGCGGCAGACTTCAGAGGGTAAATACATGATGTCGGACTTGAGCCCTCAAGAAAGAATGCACATTTCCAGGTTTACGGGACTTTCAATGACCACAATTAGCCACTGGCTAGCCAATGTGAAATACCAGCTCCGAAGGACGGGGGGAACTAAGTTCCTTAAAAATTTGGACACTGGGCACCCAGTGTTCTTTTGTAATGACTGTGCTTCACAGATCAGAACTCCTTCAACTTATATCAGTCATCTTGAATCACATCTGGGTTTCAGGTTAAGAGACTTGTCCAAACTGTCCAGTGAACAGATTAACAGTCAGATAGCACAAGCAAAGTCACCATCGGAAAAACTGGTGACATCCTCTCCAGAGGAAGATATCGGAACTTCTTATCAGTGCAAACTTTGTAACAGGACTTTTGCAAGCAAGCATGCTGTTAAACTTCATCTTAGCAAAACACATGGGAAGTCACCAGAGGATCATCTTCTGTATGTTTCAGAGTTAGAGAAGCAGTAGCATTTGCTTTCAATTAAAATAACTGTAATTTGCTTTGAGGAAAACTGTCAAAGACGCCTTAAAGCTACTGTTTAGTTCTTGGCACATGTTCTTATTTTAACTCCAGAGTCGCTCTGGGCTGAACTGTTTTGTATAACTGTACAGTGTTTAAATAGAGGTGCATAATCAGCTGTTGTTACTGGTAAAATATGAAGGTTAAAATGCAGTGGTAAGTGTTTGGAATTTTGTGTAAATTTGATTTAGTTGCTGTGCATCCCTCTGATGCATCAAGCTGCATGCATTAACTGACAGTTTAATTAAGCATTTATAACTAATTCTGGTGCACTTTTTTCATGTGACCTAAGTGTGCTGGTATTTCTCACCCTATAATCTTTAGCCCTCTGAGTACTTTGAAGCACTTTTGCATTAATTTGGTAAAAATGTGTGGGTATGTTTTTTTTTAAACCCTTACCAGCTTAGTTCCGGTTACTAATATGAACCTCCATTTATGCAGAGGTGTCTCACACCTTGAAATTTAAAAACATAATTTTCACATTGAAACATAGATGTATATATTGTATAGATTTCAAAATCTCTTATGGAAAATGTGATTGTGGTTAATGCCATTTTCTTTTTTCTTCAGCATTTTTAGCAACAGTGGGGTTTGTACCTGATAAGTCCCAGGTATAAATTGTACCTATATATAGTGTATATTTCATTTTTTAGATCAACAGTTTTTCCTTTAACATCCAAACATTGTAAATTATATGATGAAAGATACCACAGATAGCATTTATAAAATATTCAGAAACATTATTCTTAAAGCAAAGTATGTTTTGTTTTGCTATACAGTACATCTATATTAGTAGAGGTTCATGTTTAAATTATACATATTTATTAGTGTTGCTATCTTTTGTTTTTGTTTTGGGTTTTTTTTTTGTTAAACTGTCTGAAGAAACAGAAGCCACGGACTGCATTCCTGGCATGCATTCTAACTGTTTTGCACAACATGACTTTTAAAGGTATTTATTAGTAAAAAAAAAGTAAAAATAAAAAAAAGAATAAAAAGAAAAAATTCAAAATAGACTCAGTGCTCAAAGGGTTAAATTTATTTGAAAAACTTGTACTGTATTTCCTAAACATTGATAAAGCCTTTAAAATGTTTGTACTGTAATACTTTGCTTAAAAAGTTATGAGGCATTCGGTGATATAACCTCTTTTACTTATTTATAAGCGCTCTTTGTTGTTATTTCCTATTGTAGAATGCCTTTTTATTTCAATTGGTAACTTTCTGTTTTGTTCTGCCTAATTATTCTCCCAAGATTCCATACTGCAGCTTTATCTTTAGGCATATGAAAGGTAACCCGTGGTTACCAGCACACTAAGTGATTCTGTTCGTCTCCATTTTTGGCAGTTAATTTGCAGAAGTAACTGACAGCTGACACCATGTGAGAATCTACGTATAAAATATTGGCATGTAAACAGCACAGACACTGTAATGCACTCTGTGCCCTGTTTTGTTGTTGACAATGAAGCACCATTATAAGACTCTTCATATAACCTTTTTTTCTACGGCAGCATTAAAATTGTCTTTTTGCTATAATTTTGTGTTGCGTTCACAATTATGTCTGAAATGTGCTACGACTAACGAGCACATTAAAATTAAATTGTATGCTATCTGTTTATGACTGAAGCTTGAGTAGGTTTCTTCATCTGCCAGGTGCTGGCAGTCAAAAGCTGCACATAAATCAGTGGAGTTTTAGTGAACTTTAGCATTTAAAGAGCAGGGCAGCACTTATTCAAAGGCTGCATTAACACGTTTTTTTTTTTTTTTTCTCCTCCCAGAAAAGATAAATGAGCATTATAACTCCTTTTTAAACATCAGGTAAGGCTGACTGTGAGGATGGGGTTTGTGAGCAACGTGTGGAAAAGAAAATAGGTGTTCTGCTGTGCTGTGTATTCAAACCCAGGCGGATACTGCTGCTCGCACACCTTCCCCCGGAGTGTATTGAGTCTGCAAGTGACGCTGGTGGGTATTTCATGGCTTAGGGATCCCCTCTCCAACTACCTAGCATTTTCAAATGACAGGAGTAGGAACCTGAGACTACTGACTTCAACTTTGTTTTTGAAGTGAGTCCTCTCATGGCCCTACATGCTGTTAAACAGCATTTGCAGCAGATAGCGAGGGGAAAAGGAGATGAATAAACAAATGCCAGACAAACACAAACAAGCAGGAGCATTTGATAATGACAGAATTTTACTGGGGTTGACAGGTCAGTCTGTCAAAAGTTTTGAAAAGAATTTGCATCTCCAAAGCACCTGTATTATAGTGCATGTATATAATGTCTTTTGCCAGTCAGGTGAACTCAGAGTCTGGAGATGATTACATGGGAACAAAAACCACCACTACAGCATTTAATAGTCAGGTCTCAAATAATAACTAGCATCCGAATGGCAAATATACAGTTTCCTTTCTTTAAAAAAAAACAGAAGTCTTTTACTGTCTTCCAATAAGCAGCTAATTAAATCTTTGGTCCCATTCTTCTTGCCTCTTCCTCTTTCCCTTTCCCGTCCCCTTCCCCTTCCTTTTTTTCCTTCCCCTTGCCTCTTACTCCTCTCCTCTCCTCTCCTCTCCTCTCCTCTCCTCTCCTCTCCTCTCCTCTCCTCTCCTCTCCTCTCCTCTCCTCTCCTCTCCTCTCCTCTCCTCTCCTCTCCTCTCCTCTCCTCTCCTCTCCTCTCTCTCCTCTCCTCCCCCTTCCCACTCCCTTTTTCTCCCCTTTCCTTTCATTTTCATCTTTCTCTGTAATAGTAAAGGCTAGCACTAGATCTTCAAAAATTGAGCGTTCTGTGCATCCAATAGCAAATGGTGGTAAGCAGACCTAATGAATGGGATTAATGATGAGGGCTCTGTTTTTTTATTTCCTCTTGGCACACAGTTGTATTTGATTTTAAGGTCATTTGTGTGTCAATATTTATGGCCTCAGCTCAAATTCCAGCAATAAAGATGCAGCATGCTGTCATGCCAGTTGAGTGTCCCATCCCAGGAGTCCCTCTCAGTTAGTTGGGAGAGGCAGTTGAAGTCTTTAAGGAAGCCTCCTGGGTGGCTGTACACACTTTCTGCAAATAGATGATCTCAGTCTAAATGCAGCCAAATATTTTACCTCTACAGCAGAGAATTCCTCCTTTGAAAATTATAGCAGCTTAAATATAGTTATTTGGTTGCAAACCAGAAATTCACACATAAGGAGACTGGCAGATTATTGCGTGTATTGTCAATGTATTTTTAAGATGCACCATTGACTTATAATAGTAATGTTAAAACTCTGTACCCAACACTCTTATCTCGGACACAGGAGGCAGAGGGACGTTTTGTAGGGCATGTAGTGACAAGACAAGGGGGAATGGCTTTAAACTGACAGAGGGGAGATTTAGATTAGACATTAGGCAGAAGTTCTTCCCTGTGAGGGTGCTGAGGCACTGGCAGAGGGTGCCCAGAGAAGCTGTGGCTGCCCCATCCCTGGCAGTGTTCAAGGCCAGGCTGGACAGGGCTTGGAGCAACCTGGTCTGGTGGAAGGTGTCCCTGCCCGTGGCAGGGGGATTGGAACTGGATGAGCTTCAAGGTCCCTTCCAACCCAAACTGTTCTATAACCCTGTGACTACAGAGCCTTTGGCAGTGTCCCTTCTGTTTGTTGTTAAAATACAGACAAGGGGTCAATGGTTCCAAACACCAAATGCCACTGATAGAATTGTACCTTATCTGGGAAAAGTCAGTTTGTAGGCCTGACTTCTCCAGGTCTCAGTGTACAGTGAGGAGACAGACTAGGTAGAAATTCATGGAGCAAGATGTTAATATGCTCCAGAAATGACTTTTTAATACATTTTTAAAATATGCTTGAAACTTTGCAAATGAATGGCTAGTCAGGATCTGCATATCCCAAGTTTATTAAAACAAAGTTCAGCTTGCATTTCAGAGCCTTGAGGACTGGCATACCAATGTGATTTCACATTATAAAGAATTTAGAGAATCAATGAACTAGAATAATGTTCTTTTCTTCCATACACTGATATGTATATTGGCATGGTAACTATTAGTGCTAACCAAATCACCACCCTAGCTACGTTATTTTTTTTTCCTATTAGACAAACATGAAGGTATGGATGCTGGATTTCAAAATATGCCTCTGAATTCTGACTTTTGCTTTGCATTGGATATGTTATTTAGAAATATGCAGATCGAGTGAGAATGAAAACAAAATGCCTCAAGAAAGAGTTTAAAAATGAAATTGTGATGAGGTGGGAAGAGCTTTAAATCACAGGTGTATAAAGGTGACCCTGGTGTAACCCCACCCAAGTAGTGGCTTGTTGCAGCATACTGTATATCTTCCAGCCATCACATTTACGCAGTATCTTAAAATAACATTTGTGATAAATGTGCAATTTAACTAATTTATGGTGCTATGATGTGCTCAAGGCTACATGCAAGATGAAAATCTTAAATGGAGCTTGAACAGCTCACTTCACAACAAGAAATCAATATGCCAGATCTTAGAGAGCTGTTCACTGGAGTCAACATTTAGCAAAAAAAAAAAAAAAAAAAAAGTCAGTGGATGTATCTTTAAGTTTAGTGAGTAAGAAATCTATAATTAACTGAAATATGATTTTCAAGCTTGTGTCCAGAACTGTTTCTGAAACCAAAATCTTTCTAGAATCTTCATTACGTTTTATTTTTGTATTAAAACTGAAAGCATATTGTTTTAATTATGCGGTTGATTTAGTTGTGAACACTATGTGCAATTTTTTATCCAAACCAAGGCAGATTAGTGTTATCAATATGGAATTATTTGTTGCATTTAATGTGGCTTTGTATCTTGCTATAGAAAGCTAGACATGAATATGACTGCAATTTATGACAGCAAAAAATTTGGCTATACTTTGAGATTTAAAAACATACTGGCATATATTGAAGGGAAAAATCTTCTTTCTTTAATTTTGCAAGTTCTTATTTCAGCTGCAACAGAAAAGAAGTAATTGGTACAATTGGAACAGAGGCGACTGATAATAAAGCTAAATTTAATTAATAGATTTTGTATTTTAAAATATGCATCCTGAAAGTCTTATGTATTTCCTAGAAAAACAGCAAATTATTACAATTATTTTTGTTTGCTTTGTTTGGGTAACTTCTTGTTACAAGAATATACTGGAGCTTTGCTAGGTTGTCTGTTACCCACACTGCTGCCTGTAGAAATACAGGGAATGCTCATGAAACTAGAATTTCTGAAGCAAAGCAGAAAAAAATAAGGTTTCAAGATTACTCAGCTTCTAAAAAGTCTCTGGATTGTTCTCTTAGCAAAGGATGAAATATCTCTTAATACTTGACTGGACTGGTACTGGTTTAGCAATTGAAATACAAATGTGTACCTCCCTTGAGTATTGCTAGTAAATATATACAATCTCCAGCAAAAAACTCCAGTAAATTCTCTTCTCCTTGGACTTTGTGCCAAATGTGTCTCCCAGCCCTTGGCTGACCTGTTGAGGTAAATGAGAGAACAACTATGGTTCTGCCATCTCAGAATCTGGAAGTGGCTGTTGTTTGTGTTGAGGTCTCAGTAATTATCCAGTAATAATGAAAAGCTTGTGTATGTTGAAGACTATGATGCTAGAGCTCTCATTGGAGAGTATTTGCATAAGAAGTCAATTTTCTGCCAGTGAAGGAAAAATCAGGGTCATTTACAGAACGGAGCAGAATTATATATTAACACATCATTGTGCATGTCTGAAAGCGCTGGAATGATCGGTGAGGCTACAATCTGTTTTCAGGCCTTGGTTTGGGGCAATCATTTGAACTAAATGTTCAGCAGGAAAAGGATGACTTAAGTTTTACTAATCTGTAGCTCATGTGCTGTATTCATTATCTTGTATGTACACAAATACAGTGGTGGTGGTACATAAATTTGCTTTTTACATGTAAAATCAATCTTCCTTTATACTTAGTATCCAGCTTATGTGTCAGGGCAGTGTTTTGTTTGTTTGTTTTTCAGCAGTATATTATGACATGTACATGGGACACATTAACTTCCTCAGCAGCTGTTGCTTGGTTCACTTTGCCTTATTTATAGCTTGAAATGCACTTCTGGTTAAATAATCTTTTAAGAGAATTAAAATCAGATGGACTTATTGGGGATAAATGTATATGTCCAGACTACTCACCAAGTTTATGTATAACCTTTATTGAAATGAAAATACACAACTACAAACCATACTTTCATACCAGTGTGCCTATTTTTTTATTGTGGGAGCACTTAAAAAAGTAAAATTAAAAGTCACAACCTAAGTCAGATATACCAAAAAATGAAATCTTGATTAACAACATAACAAGATATTTTCTGTATAGAGTGGGTTTAAAATTCTTAGCCTGTTTCAACAAATAAAAAAAAGGTTGTAGAGCAAACAAAAAGCAAGAAGCTCCACCATTGGCCAGGAGCTGGGGCTGACAGTGAAGCTCTTTACGACTAACAGGGATGTCTTCCATACCTAAGCTAAAATGCTTGTGTGCCCTTCACGTCACCCACTGGGTTTCTTAGTGTCACTTAGGGTGAGGATATG